CCTGCGAATTCGTGCGCCGGGCGCCCTGGTACGGGAATGCCACCAGAAGCCGCCCCCCCCACGGAGAAGGGCAGGGCCTTGACCCTCACAGAGCCCCCTCCCCAAAACTCCCAGGTCAAGAGGGTCCATCCATGAACCAGGAGGTCTGGGTTCGAATCCCGGTCGGGGCACAGGCCCGGGTTGCGGGCTCGATCCTCAGTAGGGGGCATGCAGGAGGCAGCCGATCCATGATTGTCTCTCCTCATGGATGTTTCTCTCTCTCTCTCTCTCTCTCTCTCTCTCTCTCCTCCCTCCTCCCTCCCTCTTGTCCACCCTCTCTCTGAAAAGCAATGGAAAAGATATCCTTGGGTGAGGATTAACAAGAAAGAAAGAAAGAAAAAGAGAGAGAAAGAGAGAGAGAAAGGAAGGGGAAAATGAAATGGAAAAAGAAAGGAAAAAATCCTGCCACTGGTGACAAAACTCGTGGGTGGACCTTGAAGGCAGTACCCAAAGGGAAGTAAGTCCATGGCCCTGGCCAGCATTCCCAGTGGTTAGAGCGCCGGCCTTCAGACCCTGGGGTCGAAGGTTCGATTCTGGTCAAGGGCACATACCTGGGCTGTGGGTTCCTCCCCAGTCCCGGTCGGGATGCGTGTGGGAGGCAGCCAATCGGTATGTCTCCCTCACCAACCAAGGTTTCTCTCTCTCTCCTCCCTCCCTCCCTCCCTTCCACTCTCTCTCTAAATCAGGGGTCCGCAAACTTTTTAAACGGGGGGCCAGTTCACGGTCCCTCAGACCGGTGGAGGGCCGGACTATAGTTTAAAAAAAACTATGAACAAATTCCTACGCACACTGCACGTATATTATTTTGAAGTAAAAAAACAAAACGGGAACAAACACAATATTTGTATTTGCATGTGGCCCGCGGGCCGTAGTTTGAGGACCCCTGGTCTAAAAAAAAAAAAAAAAATCGATGGGAAACGTATCATCGTCGGTCGGACCCAGACGCGTGCCTCCCGGGCAGGTGCTCTGCGGCCCCCGCCGGCCAGGAAGAGGGGGGCCTCCAGGAAACGGGGGGCAGGAGAGAGGCGGCCCGGGCGAGAGGAACAGAAATCAAAAGGAGAACTCGGTGGGTCTCGTTTCTCTGAGAAAAGGACGGAAAGCGAAAACCCAAACCGACCGCAGCGTCAGGCTGGAGCCTTCGCCCCGTGAACCTGGGGAACGGAGTCCCAATGACGGGAAGGGCAGGGTGGAAGGTGACAGCCACTGGCTCAGAGACGGACGCGGGAGGGGAGGGGGGCTGAGGGAGCACCCCCTGGGGCCCGTCTTCCCCGAGACGGGGCAGCGGCAGGAGAGGCCGCCCGCTCCCCCGGGACGGAGCCCAGGTGACGCCGAGAGTCCCGAGTGAGAGCTCCTGCGTCCGCACTCGAGCGGCACTGCCAGGTGTCACCGCAGAGCTTACGGAAACCCAAGGGGAAGCATCGCACGGACCCCGGGCAGCCCTGCCGGGAGCCAGGAGGTCGCGGTTCGATTCCCCGTCGGGGCACGGGCCCGGGGTGCGGGCTCGATCCCCAGTGGGGGGCGTGCAGGAGGCAGCCGATCCATGGTTCTCTCTCCTCATTGATGCTTCTCTCTCTCTCTCCCTTCATATATGTGTGTGTGTGTGTATTTTTTTTTCGTTGTTGTTAGTATTACAGATTCCCCCTCTTTCTCCTCCCTCTTCCTTCTCCTCTGAAATGAATACGAAATATTGGGAGAGCCGAGGGCAGCTCATGGGGTGGGGCTCTGAGCTGATGCCCCTCGTGACTCTACCCCACGTCCCCTTGGGAAGGTCTGAGATTAGGACCAAGATATATATATTCATTTAAAAAAAGCAAAACACCAAAAAAAAAACCCCTTAAGTCATCTGGCCCCATCCCCGTTGTTTCTGACCAAGCTCACCCAGGACGGGGCCCAGGAATCTGCGTGTCTGACTGGCACACACGGGGGTGCTCATGGGCGGCTCCCACTCCGGGCCCCGCGGGCCGGCTTGCTCTCAGGGGTGCCCGCAGGCCGGCCTGCCGGCAGGCACACATGATGTGGGTGGCGAGGGCTGTGGGGTTTCCTGGCTCCTGGTCACCGGGAGCCCCAGACTGAGCCGGGGAGGGAGGGGCCCCCGGGGTCCCCGGGGCCAGGACTCCAGGCCGCCCCGCGTCTCCCTCCCTCCCTGCCCTGGGCCACAGCCTTTACACCTGCACCACTTCCTCTCATCACCCGGCCCCTGGCTCCTGTGGCCTCCTTTCTAGAAATACCGAGGCCTCAGGAAATACACTTTTTTTTATTTCAGGTGACAACGTGCTTTCCAACCAGTATCTCTCTCTCTCTCTCTCTTTTTTTTTTTTTGGTTAAGCCTCACCCAAGGATACTTCTCCACTGATATTTTATTTTTATTTTTCTAAATATATTCTATTGGTTTTTTACAGAGAGGAAGGGAGAGGGATAGAGAGTTAGAAACGTCGATGAGAGAGAAACATCGATCAGCTGCCTCCTGCACGCCTCCCACTGGGGAGGTGCCCGCAACCCAGGTACATGCCCTTGGCCGGAATCGAACCTGGGACCCCTCAGTCCGCAGGCCGATCCTCTATCCACTGAGCCAAACAGGTTAGGGCTCTGTTGATATTTTAAAGAGAGTGGAAGGGAGAGAGAGAATCGGCTGCCTCCTGCACGCCGCCCCCCACTGGGGATCGAACCCACCACCAGGGCCTGTGCCCTGACCGGGAATCAAACCGTGACCCCCTGGTTCGTAGGGTGACGCTCAACCACTGAGCCACACCGGCCGGGCAGACACTGTAAATTTTAACAAACTACACAAGTGATTCCTTATAGGACAGTGATGGCGAACCTATGACACGCGTGTCAGAGGTGACACGCAAACTCATTTTTTTGGTTGATTTTTCTTTGTTAAATGGCATTTAAATATATAAAATAAATATCAAAAATATAAGTCTTTGTTTTACTATGGTTGCAAAGATCAAAACATTTCTATATGTGACACGGCACCAGAGTTAAGTGAGGGTTTTTCAAAATGCTGACACGTCGAGCTCAAAGGGTTCGCCATCACTGTTATAGCAACTTGAGAAGTACCAGCCCAGGACCATTTGGAAAGACCCGGGTCGCATTTCGGGACACGACCTACAGCAGCTGTGTGGCTTTGGGCAAGTTACCGAACCTCTCTGAACCTCCGACGACTCACTTGTAAACTAAGTCGGAAGCCTGACCAGGTGGCCAGGAGGGTCAGAGATACTCAAAGGCTGGAATAGGTCTTCATCGAAGCTATCCCCAGAGGCATGAGCAACCTGGGCCCCCATCATCTTTTTCTTTTTGGAGGGGGGCGATCTGACCCTGAGAACTGAGGAGACTCGCTAGCGGCCCTTCCCACGTGACGGAGGCTGGACGAAGCTCACGCCCTCCCACTCGGAGACCCGTATCGGCCCCTACACCAGGACTCAGGGAAGGGAACAGGAAGGAGACACGGGCTGAGGTCTCAACTGAGGTCAAGACCATTTGCTGTCCTGCACGGGGTGTGACCTGGAGGTGGGCTGGGCATACGGGACAGCCCCCAGATGGACCTGCAGCTGGTGGCTCTCTCTGGGTGGGAGAGTAAAGGAAGAAGGGACAGAGGCGTCCTAGGTGGGCTCAGCCTGAGTGTCCCCAGCTCTGGGGGGGGGGGGGGGAGTGCAGGGGGAGAGAGACCAACCAGGTGGAGACAAGGGGACTGATGCTCCCCAACCCGCTCTCTCCCCCCGCTCAGCCTTAGTCTTTCCATCTGGAAACCGGGTGCACGTGAAGAAAATTTAACAGTCAGCGCCGTAGCCGGTCTGGCTCAGTGGATAGAGCATCGGCCTGCGGACTGAAGGGTCCCGGATTCGATTCCGGTCAAGGGCACGTGCCCGGGTTGCGGGCTCGATCCCCAGTGGGGGGTGTGCAGCAAGCAACCAAACAATGATTCTCATCACTGATGTTTCTCTCTCTCTCTCATTAATAAAAATTTAAAAAACAAAAAACCAGCCACTGTGATGACCCCTGTCCTTCATCGGGGGCCCACCCTGTTGCCCCAAGACCAGATGCTACGGAGGAAGGAGGTTTACATTCCTGCGTCGGTTGTTAACGTTATTAAACCTCCTGGCACACGAAAGTCTCGCCAAAGCCAGGGGCGGGAGGAACGTTCGGGCCTGGGAATCGGGTTCCCTCCTTTTTAACTTATAAGGCGGGAGGGAGCGGCCAGGAATGAGGGCGCCCAGGGGCCGCTGGACTCCAGCCCGGGGATCATTCTGGTTCAGGGGTCAGGTCTGAGGGACCATCTGGGACAGGGGGACCCCCCCTGCACCCCAGCATCTAAAAGCTTCCTACTGCCCTGCCCGGTTTCGCTCAGCGGATAGAACATCGGCCTGCGGACTGAAGGGTCCCGGGTTCGATTCCGATCAAGGGCAAGTACCTGGGTTGCAGGCTCTCTGGCCCAGAGGGCGCCTGCAGGAGGCAACCCGTTGCTGTGTCTCTCTCACATCCATGTTTCTCTCTGTCTCTCCCTTTCTCCCTTCCACTCTCTCTCTCTGAAAATCGGTGAGGATTAACCAAAAAAACAAAATTAAAAGTTTCCTACTCTCTGTCCCACCTGCTGCCGCTGCTCCAGGCCAGAAAACTCCGTCCTGAGTCCAGCCAGCTCCCCCGGGCCCCCCAAGAAGGGCCAGCAAGCATGGGGGGAGGGCAAGCCCAGCCTGAGTGTCCCCAACTCTGGGGAGGTGCGGTCGGGGGGGAGAAAGCAGGACCAGGAGGGAGAAGCCCAATGGAAGGATGCTTCCCAAACGCCCCCCCAGAGCCTCAGTCTTTCCATCTGGAAACTGGGCGCACTTTTCCGAATATCCACACAGTCCGCTGCGGCCTATGGTGCCACTCCCACCGCGCGCCACCCCGAGTTCCAGGAGCGCGCCCCTGGCCCGGCCCGGAGCCCACGCGCGTCCCTCCCCGCCCCTCCCCGCCCCGCTCACCTGCTGAAGACCAAGCAGCCCAGGTGGTTGATCTCCTGGTCGGAGCGGTGGCGGCTGTAGTCCTCCCACAGGTCCTTGAAGGCCGTGACCGCCAGGATGAACAGCACGGGCGCCAGCGCCAGGCCCGGCTGGAAGGCGTTGACGGCGGGCACGAAGTTGAGCAGCGCGATGAGGACGAAGTAGACGTTGGCCAGGCGGTGGAACTGCTCGAACAGGTTCTTGGGCACGAAGGACAGCAGCGTGTACTTGGTGGTCTTGAGCCCGGTTGTCCCGCCAGGTGTTGGGGCCCCCCCGCGCCCGGGGCCACCCACCGCCGGCGCCCGTGGGCCTGGGCCCGGGCCCTCCGGGGGG